ACTTCCAGGTCTTGTTTATGTCATTTAATTAGCTCTACTTCTTTAAGACAATTAAAAGGTATGGTGTTTTGTGAGGGACTTTATCTTTTGCGGTTCCAGTTATGCGAGAATTAATAATAAATAATAAAGACTTAGTATTCTGATTTAGTAATGTATTTATATTAGTTGTGCTACCACCACCACGCCACTAGAGGCAGTAGCAGACCCAGAAAGATGCGAAAAAGGAGCAGATTTAGAAGTACACAGAAAGCAATGGAAATTGTTAAAAACTGTGAGCTGCGCTGAAGTAAATAAAAGAGAGAAGTTGAAATACATGCTGACAGAGAAACTCCTTCCTACAGTTGAAGCTATATCACAGATTTCAAAAGAAAATTAAAACGGGAGACCGCGGATAAAATAGGAAATAGCGCCCCCTTAACTTCCGGAGTGCAATGGTCCCATTTCCAAATAAGGTAAGAGACTGGGGGGGGAGGGGCGTCCCGCCCCTTTCTGTTTGCTGCAGCGAGGTCCTTCTCTCCGATTCGGGAAATGGCTAAAGGGCGAGTCCACCTAATTTTTAACTGCCTTTTGCATCTATAATCTACTCTAGTTAAAAAACTATAACACCTAGACTCTTCAAACCAGGACTGGATTATTCTCAAATAGTAGTAGAATATTTAGAACCATGTCTGGGATTTGTGCAACCTTTATTTGATTTGTGAAACTTCAATAAAGGACAATTTTTGTCCTTTTTTTGGATCTCGGTCACACTGCTCTAATTCACAGAACTGCTCTAATTCCAAAACTACAACACCTAGACACTTCAAACCTGGACTGGATTATTCTGCTCTAATAGCAGAATATTTAAAACCATGTCTGGGATTTGTTAAACCTTCATTTGATTTGTGAAACTTCACTTCACTTAACAGACCGCTGCTTCCAACAGCCATCACCATCTACAATAACACTTTGAAGAATTAATGGGTTACATCAACATTTAATTCCCTTTGGGATTAATTGAAGTTGAATTTGAACAAACCTGCATGGAGCAAGTGTGAATAGTCATCAGAACTTTATTGAAGTTTCACAAATCCCAAACATGGTTTTAAATATTCTGCTGTTAGAGCAGAATAACCCAGTCCAGGTTTAGAGTGTCCAGGTGTTGTAGTTTTTTTTAACTAGAGTTGATTAAAGATGCGGAAAGTCGTGAATAATTAGGTGGAATCGCCCTTTAGCCATTTCCCGAACCGGAAGCTGGAGTCGGAAACCAACTTCAGCTTTGTCTGGGTTCTGGAGTGGTTCCGACCTCCATTGCACACTATTAGCCAGCCCTCCCGATCAGGTTCTGGTTCTGGACATCGAGCGGCAGGAACATTGCAGCTTCTTTGGAACCAGGTCCAGCTGTTTACCCGTTTGAAACCGTTCCATAGAGGTTTACTGGTTGGTCCTGGTCCCTGATGTAGATCCCTGTTGGTTCTGCTCAGAGGTCCGGCTCTGATCAGAACTTTTAGTTCAACTGGTTCATTGGCTTTAGCGTCGACTCAAATGGTCTCAGGTTCTTGGTTCTTGCCCAGAATGCGTCTCTTCTGTCCTCTCACCTATCCGTCCCTCCAGGTGTCATGGAGTCCACAGAGAGCAGGTACTCCCACCTGCTGCAGCCAATCAGAGAGCTCACCAAGAACTGGGAGATCGATGTGGCGTCAGAGCTCAACGACTACCTGGAGGAGGTGAGCTTCCTGTTAGGTAGAAACCTCATGTGGCCTCTATGACCTTTGACCTCTGTCCACCTCTGTACCTGGCTGCAGCTGGATGAGATGTGCATCACCTTTGACGGAGGGAGAACCAGGTTGAACTTCGCTGAGGCTGCGCTGCTCATCCAGGGCTCTACCTGCATCTACAGCAAGAAGGTGGGAGGGGCGGCTCAGTGTGACGTCATTGTGTGGGCGGGGTCAGGTGGAGTCACGGCTTCCCATCTCTGGTGTTGCAGGTGGAGCTGCTCCACAGCCTGGTGTTCCAGACTCTGGAGTTCATCAGCGACAACAAGAAGTGAGCAGTGCCGCCTGAGGGTCCAGTGGGTCGTGTTCTGGTTCTGGTTCTAGTTCTGGTTCTGGTGTGTCTCCAGGCGCAGTCGGGCGGCAGCAGCCCAGCAGGGGGCAGCAGCAGCAGACCAGACGGAGCAGGAAGCTGAGGATCTGGCTGTGGTGAGAACAGGAAGCTGGCTGTGACAGGGTGCTGAGCATTCTGGGTAATGTAGGCACTGCTTCTCTCTGCTGCAGTTCACTCCTCTGGAGCTGGACGAGTCTGCCACGTCCCCAAGGACGGAGCCTCACACAGTGAGTGTCTGTCCCTCAGCCTGTCTCCTGTCCCTCAGCCTGTCTCCTGTCCCTCAGCCTGTCTCCTGTCCCCTACAGGACATCAGTGTGGTTCCTCTGCCTCCAGAGGCCCTGATCCCTCCTGAGACTCAGGAGAAGAACAAGCTGCCTCTCATCAGGTTTGTCCCCGTCTCATGTCCCTCTGTCCCTCTGTCCTCTGCTGTGTCTCATGTCCTCCCCCCCATAACCCCTATAGTGTTGGGGGGGAGGTGCTGTGCAGCCAGAAGGACTTCCGGGTCAACCTGTTCCTGCCGGGACCTGATGACCTCATCGTCCTGATGCTCCAATCAGCTGCAGCCTCCAGGTTCCTGCTGGACCAATCAGCTGCAGGTAGGCTACTGCTCCGCGACGGTTCCCCCTGCTGGTCACAGGGTGACCTGCTGACTTCCTGCTCCCTCCTGCAGCTGAATCTGCTGTGACCTTTGACCCCGATGAAGCTGCAGGAGGCTCTGCAGAAGACTTCCTTCCTGTCCAGGAGGAACTGAACCTGGAACCGGACCTGGAGGAGCACATCGAGCAGCAACAGGTCTCGGTGCGGACAGCCTCCTGAAGACGGTTCTGGTTCTGATTGGCTTCTGGTTCTCATGGGTTCTGGTTCTGGTTCCAGGGTGAAGGCCGGCTGATACGGCATGCTGCGGCGCGGCAGGAGGAAGAGGAGGAGCCTCCAGCTGCTGTAAGAGCCATTTCACCTTCATCACGCCACTCCTCTTCCTCAGGCTGACTCTCAGGTGTTCCAGGTGAGTAACTGGACCCTCCATGACCCGTATGCCGCCCTGGGAGGAGACCGGCCCCTCACACCAGGTGAGACCCGGACCGACCCGGTTCTGATGCTTCACCGTCTTAGGCTGACTTCTGATACTGCTCTTCCTCTTCCTCCTCTTCCTCAGGGAGGTGCTACCGGGTTCCTGACGGTCTGGATGACGGGGGGAAGAGGAAGAGGAAGCGGTCGGTTCTGCAAGACTTCCGGTCCTGGTTCCGAGGAGCCTGTGAGTTTCTGTCCAGTCCGGTCCTCCTGTAAGGTTCTGCTGTCTGACCTGTGTTTCTGTTGCAGTCCAGCCCCCAGAACCCAAGCTGAAGGTCGGACCCAGCTTCCCAGGTACGCTAGGACCGCCTGACGGGTCTGGGTCAGAACCAGAACCACCATGCTTGGCTGACACTCTGTGATTTTTCAGACCTTAACTACCTCTACCTGAGGACACTGAGGGACAAAGTCCGGAGACAGAGGACACTCTGCAGGACGCTGGTGAGTCCAGTGGATGGACGGCCGGCTGCTTCCTGTCTGTCCGGCTGCTTCCTGTCTGTCCGGCTGCTTCCTGTCTGTCCGGCTGCTTCCTGTCTGTCCGGCTGCTTCCTGTCTGTCCAGCAGGTCAAGGGGAAACGAGGACTGTCTGCTGCTGGTTCCTCCAGGCTCTGTTTGCTCTAAATGGACCGGTTCTGGGGCCTCATGTCTAAAGCGACGTGAGCACAGGAAATGCATCGCCGCCATATTTTACGCAAGTCGGCATGTATAAAGATGAACATGGTGTGAAAAACGGGTTAATATAATTAACGGGTTAATAACTTTTGACCTGCGGTGAAAATGTGCTGCAGCCACACAAACTTTATCTGTGGACAATAATAAACTATAAAGAGTCAAAACTCACATAAATCCACTGAAACCTGATTCAGTTATTTAGACCAAGAATAAAACCCGATGATTTTATTATTTTATTGGTTAAACTGTGAAACTGAACCACATTTATCCTCAGACAATAACCTGAAAAATAAAGAAACTAAAGGAAGGTAAAACTTCACTCTGACGTAAATAATAACTTCCTCAGTTTGTCTCATGAAGATGTAACTCATCGTCTGAAAGCATCTGAGGCTCATTTCATTCTGACTGGAGAGAAAACAGGCTGATCAGCAGATGGATCCACCAGGTTCGGTTCTGATCAGGAGACGATCAGCTGATCCAGGTGAGCCACTACTTGAGGAGCTTTGGCTCTGATGGAGAACATCTGAGGAGGATTGATCACAGATCAGATCCATCTGATGGTCGATCAGCGTTTAGATTCATCCTGGAGCTCTGAGCAGAACTTAGAGCGGTACCAGCGGTACCGGTACCGGTCCAGCTGCAGCCGTCCTCCAGTGGAGCCGCCCGCCTTGTGAAAGTGCCTTATGGACAGAAAGCATCTCTACTCTGTGAATGCAGCTCCTGCTGCTGATTCCTGTCTGCAGAACAAACGTCCACATTCAGAACCTCTCTGGTCTGTAGACCGGCTGGAGGCTCTGCTGCAGCAGCAGGTCCGACCCGGAGGCTCTGCTGCAGCAGCAGGTCCGACCCGGACGCTCTGCTGCAGCAGCAGGTCGGACCCGGACGCTCTGCTGCAGCAGCAGGTCCGACCCGGACCACTTTACTCTTTACTTTTTATTATCTGTAGTTTTTCTTTAAAATGTTTTATTCTTTGTGATTTGACCTTATGTGCCCTGAAAGCACCTTTTAAATAAAATATATAATGATTATTAAAGATACTTTTACTGGTACAAACAAGGACGTTGCCATGGTTACTGCTTCACGTGGCGGCAGTAACCATGCAAATTAGTATAAATGAATATTTCTACTATTTCTACATTCAGATGCATTTCTGGAGGCGACCAGCAGCTGCTCTGCTTCCTGTAAATCAGGTTTGATAAAGGAAAGGTGAGCAGGTCTGAGCGCAGCACAGCTTCATACATCTGGTTTTTTAGTGCGCCGTACTTTTCTAAATTTGTCCGGCACCAAGTTTTAGTGTGAAAACTGCAAACTCTTTTATGCATGAGGCAGTTGGTCGCTCTCCACTGGTTTCCAGTTTCTAACTGGTGTGAATGACACAGCAGAGCTTTATTTTGAAGGAATAAATGCATCAATAAGCCAGTGAATTAAGAGGAAGTTCCTGACTGTACTTCCTGTTGCTGAGTAACTGTCTGGGATCAAAGGGCGTCGTCATGACGGAGGAGGAGCTCCGGAGAACCTTCCTGCAGCTGGAGGAGGCGGGGCCACAACAGCTGGGGGCGGGGCCAATGCATGATGTCACACCTGCTGAGCTGCTGGGTCAGTGTCTCCGGTTCTGATCCAGTTCTCTGCTGCGTCTGAGCCATTAGCAGCAGCTGACCAGTAACCTCTGACCCCTGACCCAGCAGCAGGTTCATCCCTTTGCTTTGTCCTCCAATAGGTGGAGACTCAGACGACTCAGACGCCGAGTTGGACGGCCTTCCTGCCGAGTTCAGAGGACCGGACTCCGCCTCCCCAGGTACGTGACCTCCAGGTGACCTCCAGGTGACCTCCAGGTGAGCTGGAGTAGACAGGAGGTCCTCAGGGTCGTGTTCTTGTCCTCCAGCAGAAGCTCAGCGGGACGACCTGACGTATGAAGAGCTGGTGAAGCTGCGTGTGGTAAGTGAGTCGTACAACCCGGACTGGACCGCCTGACACGGACCGCCTGACCCTCTCTGTGGTGCGTTCAGGAGCAGCTTGTGGTGCACAGCCAGGGCTACACCCAGGAATCGGCTCTGTCCCGCCGGGTCAGGGACTGGGAGGACAAGATCCGCCCGGAGCTGGCGCTGCAGGTGAGACCGGGAGCCTCCTGGTACCGTCCCGGTTCCGGGCCGCTGCTCACATCTCTGTTTTCCAGGAGGACCGACCTCCATTCGACATCCACGCCTACGGAGAGCGGATCGTCGCCCAGCTGGGCGCCGTCGGCTGCAGGCGCTCCTTTGCCTCCATCGTCCGCGGTTTGGACAACATGGAGGCCTGCAAGCTGCTGCTGGCGTCACTGCAGCTGGTAAACCTCCTCTTCCTCCTCCTCCTCATCGTCCTCCAGGGTTTTAGGGAGGTCATGTCCCGGCTGTTGGTGGAGCTGCTGGATGATTCTCCAATGATTTATTATTCAAAGCAGATTAAAAGGTTTTTAAGGAATCCCAGCAGAACCAGAACCAGAACCAGAGCCGGGCTCAGTACCATTATTGATATTATAGATCAGTGTTTCTCAACCTTTCTTGGGCCAGCGCCCCCCAGCCTTTATCCAGGTCCCCCCCCCACCCCACCAAAGAATTTGTAGGCTACTTTGCACCGACTATTATGTCATCATT